TAGTAGTAGTAGTAGCAGCACAAGAACAACAGCAACAACAACAACAACAGCAACAACAACAACAAGTGCTACTACGTCTACGTCCATCACTCTTAAGAGTCTATAATTACCACTACAGCGACGACTACTACCACTACTTCTACTATGCCTACTCCTACTTCTACCCTTACCCCGGTACAAACCCCATGTAAACTATTTAAAGCCTGAAATCGTACACGCCCCACAAGCGCCATGTACTCTAAGCCCACATGATTTACAAGCCCAAACTCTCGAGGCCAAAGCTCCGAAACCCAAAAGCCGTGCACTGGAAACCTATGAACGCCAAAGCCAGACGAGCCGCCCGTTGGAGACCTCGCCAAATCCTTCTCCTCGGAATCGAATTTATTATAGGGTTGTATGGGATCTAGGCCTCGCGGGTTAGAGTAATTGAATTTATACTGGGTTCCGTGGGTTCCTTGGAAACCGGGTTGAGGGTTTATTCTACCTACCGACTACCGTGCTTACCACCCCTATATCGATATAATATATAGCACTGAAACAATCTAAACCCGTGTGTGATCGACCTCGCTGCCCCAGTACATGCAGCACTGCTAGGATTCGTCGTCACCACTCCAGTTAGCAGCATTGTCTGGAAAGATTACAGAAGTTTTCTTGGGTGGGCGGTCTCCCCGCGATTATCCAAATGTCTGTTTGGCAAACAGTACAAGATTCGCACAGATACTCGAAACCTATGTGTGCAGGACTGTGCTGAAGAAGCTCAAGTCCGATGAGAAGATCAATGAGGCTGCTGTGCCCAAGGGACGTGCTGTGCCCAAGAGAGGCAAAGCCAAGACCAAGAGCCGACCGGCTGTGTCTAGCAAGGCCCGGCGAAGCAAGTAAATGTTGGTAGGACCCGTGCAACGTAGAACTGATCGATGCTCTACACTATATATGTGTATACCCACCTGTACTGTAAGCCTCGGCAACCTAAACTCTGATAGAGAGTCTTCGCTGAACCCGTGGCCGCACGTTTTGCACCTCCTACAGTGCTTTCTGTGAGAGTTTCTTCTCACGTTTCACTGCGACAGGGTCTACAGTTGGAGCTATAATATAAACACGTGTAAAATGCAGTAGGTACACCGTTCAAGTAGGACGGCGGTGGTGCTCCAAGAGGACGATCCTTCTTTTCGCTTCCAGTTGTCATTACGGCTGGTTTGCTCAGTTCCCTTAGGGCAGTGCTTCGCACACTACAAAAAGCTCGATCGTAGGGAACCGTACAGTAGCCAGACTGTTTATAACCAAGAAGCAGCACGCAGGCCATAATGCGAAGCGCCAACGACGAGTTGGTCCTGTGGCCCATGCGATTGCACAGACTGTGGCAGCTGGTGCTTGTTGGTGGAAATAGGATATGGCTGTACATTTTTCTTAGTTGTGACAATCTTACTTTTGATGACTTTGTGTTCACACTGCTGCTTGGCTTGGTCCGGTGTTATTATAGAGCCTTTGTAAATACTCTAGGATGAGTCTCGGAGCCTTAAGGTTAGCGAGGCGCATGCTTGCAAAATCGCAGAGGCGATGCATCGAGAGCTGCAGGACCATCCGCCTATCCAGTCATCCGGCTTTATTTCACGGCTACAGAATCTTCATACCACTGGGCATGACAACCGGATGCCCAATGTGTTAACAGATTATGGTTTGCAAGCCGATATTCCTACGTCCTTTGTTGCGATTGGCCTCAAGCAACCGCACCCTGTGCTGCGACTACGAGATGCAATTGAAACTTTCGACAAAGCTGGCAAAATACACCATCTGTTTGCAGGGAACGGACCCACACAGTTGAAGGATTTCTGGTGCAAGATGCAAAAAACTCACCCTGGCTACGATGTCTTTGCTACACATGGCGATCGGCTACATGCTTGCCTGCCCATGATGCTACACCTGGACGAGGGTACATCCCACAAAAAGAAGGGTATTATGGTGTTATCGGTGCAGATAGTGTGTGGAAAAGGCTCCCGTCGAAGTGCGGGACATAATTTCCTTGGCTCCACATATCTATCTCGACTGCTCTTTTCTGCCTTGCTGGCGAGGACATACACCAAGAAAAAATCCATACTATATTCTCTTTTCGAGGAATGGTATCAAGACTTGGACGACTGCTATTGCAATGGTATCAGTATATCTGGTGTTCCTGGAGTCGAAAAACTCTACCCTGTCGTGATTGCATGTAAGGGCGATTGGCCTGCACTGACAAAGGCAGGTCGCTTGACCCGGCATCACTTACGGGATGCTCCAGCACAGGAGTTCCCACCTGGGATTTGTCACCTTTGTCGAGCAGGCCAGGCCGGCTACCCTTGGAATGCATTCGAGTCAAACTCGGCATGGATGTGTGGGGACAACCCTCTTCCCTGGACTACGCCTTCTCCCTTGTCAAAGCTTGCTCAAGACAAGCTGAATCCAGCGAGCTTCTTTGTCATTGACGCATTCCACGTTTGTCACAAAGGTGTGGTTGCTGACTATGTTGCTTCGGCTGCTGAACCCTAGCCGAACACGAAGACAGCCCAACAGGTTTCATCAAGGTTCATATGTGACAAGATTTTCGTTCGGATGTTTTGCCGTTGTTTTTATCAAGCCCAGGCGACGCTGTCAGATTATCAGCTGCTGGGAACTTCAAAAGACTTCACGAAGCACATGCAGGTTTTGTATGACGAGGCCCGCACCTGGTGTGCCGAACGTCACGAGTATCTTCATATGACTGGTTTGACAAAGGATGTGCTGGGTCTGGATACGATGGCCGACTATCCCCTCGGGTGTCTGGTTGTGTTTCAGCTTTGTGTCGGGTTCAGCGGGTCACTCGTTGCATGCATGCAATCACTGTAGCCGTCTGTTTACAGGGGATGTTAGCTGTCGGGGTCAAGGACAACCAACTATGATCGTTTATACTTCTCATGCAACATCAACGAAGGTAACGAAAGCGTTTTATTTTATGACACTGTTCTGGGGTGGTTTGGGTTTCGTTTTTCTTTGTTGAGTCAAGGCGCTGGTTCAAAGGCGCGGACACGCCTTTGCTGGCCAAGTTTCTTCAATACCGGTACAGTCGTGTTTTGGCCGATTGCGACGAAGCTGACGAAGCTGTTTTCCGAACGATCTATGATGGCCTAAAACACATCAACGGCTTCATGCGGGCCATCTATGAGCAGCCTTTATGGGTTGAGCCGACTGACGTAGAAAACATCGCCCAGATGGGCCTTGGGTTCATGCGGGCACTCAATCAGGCAGCCAGGCACGCTCTCGAGTTGCAAAGACCGAGATTCAAGATTCAGCCGAAATTCCATTTGTTTGCTCACTTGGTGCACAGTATGAGTCTGGCTTCGCAAAGCGGGGCCACGAGCCTCAACATTCTGGCACACAGTTGCCAGATGGACGAGGACTTTATTGGAAAGATATCATCGCAGAGCAGGCATGTGTCAATAAGAACTGTACACTGCCGTACTATCCAAAGGTACTGCCTCAACCTCGCTCTCAAGTGGTAAAACCATCAGTCCTTCCAGCGTTTCGCATCTGCGAGCAGAAGCAGCCCAGGCGCCGTTCGGATCGTCAAGGCTATGTTGGATTCTGATTATAGATTTTATCATAAAGGATTGGGCCAGGGTTTTTCTCTAACGACATCATTGGCAGTTTTGCTCGGCTTCACAAGTGTATGGTTGTAACCTCAAGCAGAGCTATGCTTATGACAATTGGACAAACACCAGGAATCAGCAACTTTAAGCCAGTGGCGGAAACCCCGGTCACAGTGACCTGTTGCACTTAATGAAGGTACACCAGGCTTTCCAGGTAGGGTTTAAGGTTAAACTTGTAAGCGGGGCAGTAGCTATATCTGGGGTTTATAAGTAGGGCGGTAGCTTTAACTGGGGTCTATAAGTCGGGTAACCATACCTATTGTAACTATGTAAACCTAAACCATATGAGGCAAACCCCTACACCCGACGCCCTAAACCATATTAGGGGACTTATAACCCTACCTATAACTCGTAGAAGGCTTTCACAACCTTCAACCGGTTCAACTGTCGACCCTGAACAAACCCTCAACGCTACACCCCTAAACGCTGAACCCAAAGCCCTAAACCCCAAACTCTAAACCCGCAGCCCTGAACTCTTAAACCCTAAACCTCAAACCCTTAACCCTAAACTCTAAACCCTAAGCCCCAAACTCTGAACCCTGAGCCCTAAACCCTAAACCCAAAGCTCTAAACCCTAAACCATTGGCGTTTCCCTCCTTCTTCTTCAGCTGCTCGAGGATTTCGGCCTCACGGTTGCTTCGAAGTCTTGCAGGCAGGCTATCACCGCAGTGTAGGTTTAGGGTTTAGGGTCTAGGGTTTAGGCTTTAGGGTTTATTCTTGCAGTGGTCCGAAGGTTTAAACGCCCACTTGGGCAGGCTAGGATGGTAGGGTGTACCCTAAACCCTAAACCCTAAACCCTAAACCCTAAACCCTAAACCCTAAACCTTAAAGAACCTACCTCTTTAGGGTTCCTTTTTTTATGATTTCTTTATATACGTCCTTAAAATGGTAGGTTCTTTGGGGTTAAGGTAGGGTTTATAGGGTTTAGGGTTTAGGGTTTAGGGTTTAGGGTTTAGGGTTTTTAGGACTTATGTCGTAGGGTTTCGGGACCCAAGTGTCCGATGGGAGGGCTCAATATTTTGAAGGGGTTCATAGGGGATTGCTGCGGCGAAAAACACAACTCACAAACCCTAAAACCCTACAACATACAAGGAGAGCCTAAACCCTAAACGACGAAAGTAAACCACAAAACCCTAAACCCTGAACCCCACAAAACCCTAAACCCTGAACCCCACAAAACCCTAAACCCTAAACCCTAAACCCTAAACCCTAAACCCTGAACTCCACAAAAGCCACAAAGGCAAGAAGAGCGGGGCCTGCTCGACGACGATGTGGGCCAAGCGATCCTCTAGAAGTCCGGGGTTCCACAATTTGGGTTTAGGGTTTAGGGTTTAGGGTTTAGCCTTTAGGGTGTTCTACACTTTGGGGTTACCTATAGGCCCCATAGTAGTTCCTTTTTGGGATTACTTTATAGGATTCTATAGATGAACCTCAAAAAGGAACTACTTTAGGGCCTATGGGTAGAGGACAGGGAGTTAAGGGGCTTTTGGGTTTCGGGGGTTTAGGGGGTTTAGGGGATTTAGGGGGTTTGGGGGGTTTAGGGGGTTTAGGGGGCTTAAGGCGTTTAGGGGTTTAGGGTTTAGGAACTTAGTTTATCAGTTACCAGAATCGGTATCCAAAGATCCAAGAAAAAGGGTAAGGCTTGCTGCACATGGCATCTTACGGTAAGTTCCGGAGCAAGAGCCCGGAAGTGCTGCATCGGCATCCGCACATCGGGAACTGAACATTGCGGGATTCAGGGCTTTTGCTGGTTTAGGGCTTTGTAAAGAGCTCTGCCGAAACCCTGAACTGTAAGAGGGAACCCCCAAAGTAGTGGATACCTTAAACTGCGGCCGTCCTCTGGTCCGTGGCCATACTTGTTCGCGAAATCTTGGCACGGCAATGGGCGCAAGTGCGGGACTTCAAAGCAGTCCGTTCATGTGGGGAAACGGTGGGGAGGGAAGCGGTGTTGCATGCTTCGTAAGTTTCGTAGGGTTTAGGTTTTGAAAGGCTTTTGGGCCTCGGTAAGGTTCATGGAATTTCAGGGATCGAAGACCCCGCAATCCACATGCAAAGCCTCAAACTCGACACCTCGCCCCCCGAATCGCCGACGACTCCCAGGACTACACAACAAGGTTCTGGGTATAACCGGTTTGGGTTCAGCGCTCCATACAGCACTATATAAGGGCTCTCTTGCGTAAGGGTCCGAGAAGTTTCTATAAGGCTTCTACAAGGTACTATAGGATGCAAGCAAGCGAAACTTCATCATCCAGAGCGGCTTTCCCAAAGGGGATACTCATCCAAACCATAACCCTAAGGGTCCAAGTACCTAATAATCATATACTCTTCTGAAGACTAACCTACAAAACTACTATCCGTAACCCAAGTACATGAATACTAGGTCGTTTGGACCCTTAGGGTAATGGTGATTCCTATAATGGAAACCCTACTTTCTACTATATAGGTACTGA